GATAGAATGATATAAGTGTCAAAGGACTATAAGTGCACTGATTAGGGGGAGAGGGTTGCGGTTCCCAAAGGCAAAATTAATCTTTAAACAGTATAAACAATATGTAAAGATTAACAATACTTATAACAAGTAATATGCCTGCCTTTACAATTAAAACAGAATGACAAAATGTTAGCAAGAATAGGATTATGAAAGACCTGTGACTTCCTGGGAAAGAACAGATAAATAAGTTCTGTGGTGTGCATAGCGTGATAACAGTGAAATGATCTTAAAGGGAAATTGAAAAGAATCTGTGACTGCACACATATACAGTATCACAGTCCTTGTACCTACAAAATACTATTTAGTGTGCCACTAAAAGCTTTGGTGTTTTTTTTAATTAAAAGTTTCTATTACATATATTTTTTAGGCACACAGAAAGGATATTTTGGCCTTACTGAGCCTACTGTACAGAAGAACTTCATTAAAACCAGCAACTGTTCAGATATTGAACACATTGGTCAGGTCTATATAAAGCATAATCTATAGACTTCAGGGATAGAGAGAAAGTAACAAATAAAAACACATGTAGTGCAGCAGTCATGATGAACACCACATTTACATCAGAGTACCCAGCATTCCCCCTATAAATCATAGTCATCTCTGCTTCTGTGTCCCCAGAGTGCCATCCTTACATCAGAGCATCCAGAGTCCCACCTTAAATCAGAGCCCCCGTACATCAGTGCCTCCTTACATCCTCCAGAGCACATCCTTAGTAACTCGAAAGTGTCCCCTTACATGCTAGTTTTACTAAAGGGGTACTTTGGAGGATGTAGGGGGGAACCCTGGAAGTACTAATTTAGTACCTCCAGAGTGCCCCCTTATATCCTCCTGGTGTTATTAAGTTAGTACCTCTAGAGGGCCACCTTGCTTCTTTCAAAGTGCCTCCAAAGTGTCCCCTTACATCCTCCTCCTTGTTGGCGACTCTGAACTGTGCATGTGCAGTTCTGGAGCCAGCTGATTAGTGAACTGTGGAGCTCAGCCTTCACTTGTGTGGCAGGGCATCTGCATATAAGCCACACCTTTCTGTATGATTTAGAGCTGAGCCCGCCAAATTTTAAATCAACTGGCTCTAGAACTACACATAAGCAGTTCAGAATCGCCGACATGGAGATTGTTTACAGACAGTTTTCTCGTGTCTACGGACATTTACAGACAGAAAAAAAACTGCCTGTAATTTACAAACTGTTCGTAAATTTAGGGACGGTTGGCAACACCATTACTAGGGCAGGTGTTCAAACCCATGTGAAAGTGCAAAGCGGGTGATAGTAGGACCAAAGGAAGTACTTTCACTGAGAAATGACACACAAGTCTATGCAGAGGACAGAAGCCAAACAAGTCCCACCAACCAGTAGAGGTCTCCCACTGGCCCGTAGGGCAAAAGAAGCACAAACATTTTTGAGCTTCTTTTGCCCTATTTTTTATATATATATATCTTCCAATGAGTGGCCTCAAAAACCTATATAAAGTAAGGAATATATATTAGAATAAAAGGGGAAGAGTTTCCTCTATTCTAATACCACACATCAAAGCAAACTTACATTGTTTCATATTGTATATCCCAGGTCAATCGAGCAACATAGCATATACTTTATGTACATCAGCAGCAACCTAAGCAGGAAGATAGAAGGAAAATAAACGGCAAAATAAAATCAACCGAAAAATAAAAAAGTTCCATGACGGAAAGGACTTTATGTTGCAAAAACCACATTTGCAGCAGCTACTAGGCTGAATTCACACTGGCTTCCGATAAAATGCAGGGAAAATGGATGTATTTTTTCATTCATTTTATGTACAGTTTAACATGCGTTGACTTGTATTGATGCGCATTTCGATTTGGGTTGATGCACGTTTTAGTGCCCTTTAAAATGCACTGCATTTTGCAGGACATCACATCCTGTGGATTACATGGGCTATAAAGTTGTCAATGTCAATAAATCCTGACAAGTTGACAGAAAGCACCTGCTCTGCCCACACTCCTCTTTTCCTCACACTCCAATCTCCGAAAAATGGCCACCTGTGAGGAATAAAAATCACAAAGCAAACTTTTATTACTTTCGTTGACCTTTGTTTTCCATACGTTAACCTACGTTGTGTTAAAATGCATACATGTTGCATTTTACGGCAACGCAAGTCAACGCAACGTTGTAGTGTGAACAAGAAACACAAAAAACAAATTTTTTTTAGGTTAACCTGCGTTTTACAGCTGTACTCAAATGCAGATCAATGCACTAGTGTGAATTACCCTTAGTATGTACATCTGCTCTCCATGGGCTAGAAGGAACCTGTGAAAAGCAGATGTATGCACTAAGGTAGTTAGTGCAAATGTGTTTGTCTTTTTTGGACATAAGGTCCTTTCCTTCATGGAACATTTTTTATATTCTCAGATTATAATATCAGTAATATGTGTTGGTTATATACATTATGTATTGTTTTGATTCAAGGAAAGCTCTTTTAAAATGTACTCCATATCTTTGTAGATGGACACTCTGGTCATAAGTGAAGAAAACTGTTGTGATGTCCTGGTCCTGCGGAAGCGGGACATCCGCAAAACGCTGTGACCCTTGGGGACGCATGTTAAATATTGTTCATCTATCATATTATACAGTATTTGTTAGCTTTTATGATTATTTCTATGTTGAAGAGTATATTAATTGTTAACTTATGTTAAACAGTAACTATTTATTAATTTTTAATGTTTTGTAATCCATGTGGTTAAGAATAGAGTTGTCAAATAGAGGAATGATACAGTTGTCACCAAACATGCTGGGGAAGAAGAGTGAGGTCCTCTGTGTCAGCGTTTCACATCAACCAGTTTCAGAGATCTACTGAACATCAATGCACATGATTTCTCCTCTGCTCCTCTTGCTGACCACAGGAATGACAGCACTTTGTTGGAATTAGCTTTGGATCTTTTACTTACCACCACTGTGGGAAACCTGCAAGCAAAGGATTCACTGGAGAAAGCCTGGTCACTGAGCCATTAAAGCAGATTTCCAGCTTTACTATCATTGTAACTAGTTTGCTTGCACAAAGCTGGCCCAAACAATTTATTTCTTACACTAACAGATGCGTCCACTGAGTGTGCTATATAAACTGTATGAAGCCTTTGCTCCAAACAGTATACAGCACTGTGTTATGGTTATGGAAATTTCCATCCCATCTCCAGAACCACCTCTGCCATTCATAAGCAGTTTTGTATCCCCTGGATGAATAAAAAGCTTCCGCTGATTGGCTGAGGCAGATAATCAGGCAGATGACGTCATGATCTCTGCCTCTACCAGTTAGAGGAAGCTTTATATTTATTCAGGGAAAAACGGGGTTTATTTGTTACTCACCATAAAATCCCTTTCTCTGAGTTAATTGACGGACACTCCATTATCCATGAACAAACAAGTTTGTATAGCCCCACTTAAAGTAGGGAACTAGACAGAAAAAAAAACTCAGCACCTTCTATGGGCAGTCCTCTCTGGGCATAAAACCCCCTCTTTGCTATAGGTCTCTAGTCAGTCACAAGCAGTGTCAAAAGGAACAAACCCCCAAAGAGGGGTCAGTGCTCTGGCCATCAATGAAAGGGATCTTATGGTGAATAACAAAAATAAAAATCAAATTTTCTCTTTCATTACCCATGACCAAACAGGGATGCCCCAAAGCACTGCTACAAGGGGTGGGCAAACCAACTAATCCCCTCATGTTTTGCATTGTATTGGTATTGTTCTGTCACATTTTCTGTCCCCCTTTGTAATGTACAGCGCTGAGCGAACTATTGGCGCTTTATAAATACTGTATAATAATAATAATAATAATAATAATAATGGAGAAACACCTAGGGCAACATGCCAAATCTCCGAACCACCCCGAAGGGGAGCACGAAACAGCCGCCTGCAAAACTTTGCAGCCAAAACTAGCATTGGAGGATGCCCAAAATATCAACTGTATAAAAAATGTAAATGAGTGAACAGACGACCAGGTCACCGCCCTGCAGATTTGAGAGCAGATGGCAGAACTCCCAGGAGGCGCTAACTACCCTGGCGGAGTGCGCTGTCACAGGGAAGAGAGGTTCCTACCTCTTAACGGCGTAAGCCTGCACAATCATATATTGAATCCAACAGGAAATAGCGGCAGAAGAGGATACCATGCCTTTCCTTGGCTACAAACAGAGAACTGGACCTCCGGAAGGCAGCCGCCACAGAGTAGCACACATGAATCACGTGAACCATGGCCAAGGAGTACAAAGCCACCTCCTTAGGATGCAACAGCTGAGAAACACAATGAGGGAAGGCCAATGTCCTCATTCCAGTGGAAATCTAACACCACCTTTGGAAGAAAGAACTGGACCTCTGTGTCTTTATGCAAAAGCAGATAAGGTGGCTTACAGGACCAAGCTGCTGTTTCTGACACCTGCTGGGCCAAAGTGATAGGGACTAGGAAGCCAAACTTCTGCGAGAGGGTAAGCAAGGGAATATACTGAATGTTTTTGTGAGAAAGCTCCTGCAGAACCGAGAACACCATATTCAAGGCCCATGGCGACAACAAGAAGCACCACATAACGAACCCCCCGGATAAATTAACAAACCAAAAAGAATGGCCAAAGTCCACCAAAAGAAAATGGCCAGAAGAGAGATTTGACCCTTGAGTGTAAACTTCTGATCAAAGCCACATTGGAGGCAAACACCCGAGCCATGGAGACGTAACAAGGGAGGAACCCCAAAGCTTTGCACCAAACAATAAAATCTTTCCAGGTGTGATAAATCCTCTGGGAGGTAGATTTATGAGTCTGTAACATAGTTTAACCGCCTCCTGCCCGCCATATAGTCAAATGATGGACACAAGGCGGTTCTCTCGTTCTGGGAGGATGTCATATGACGTTCTCCCACATTCTAACAGCGCATGAGCGGCTACGGGAGCGGCAGCGCGGCGATTGGCGGTGCATGGTTTCCCTCGGACACAGCGGATCACCGATCAACAGAAAGAGCCAAAGATGTCGGCTAGGTCATGTTATCAGCTGTGTCCAATCGGTTATCGGCATTTCTCTCCTCACGAGCTGTCACGCTGACAGCTCGAGAGGAGAGGAGAGCCGGTAATCGGCATCCCTCAGAGGGGACATCTACACTGATCATCAGGACACTGATGATCAGTGTGCCCTGATAATCTGTGTAGCCCAATCAGTGCCATCTGTCAGTGTCCATCAGTGCTAGCTGTCAGTGCTCATCCATGCCACCTGCCAGTGCCCATCAATGCAGCATTTCAGTGCCTACCAGTGCACATCAATGCCACATATCAGTGCCCATCTGAGCTGCCTTTCAGTATCACCCATCAGTACCACCTATCAATGCCAGTCAGTGCCACCTATCAGTGCTGCCAACCAGTGCCACCTATCAGTGTGCATCAGTGCCGCCTATCAGTGTGCATCAGTGCCAGTCAGTGCCGCCTAACAGTGCCATATATGAGTGATGCCTGTTAATGCCCATCAGTGATGCCTGTCAATGCCCATCAGTGCCACCTACCAGTGCCTCCTCATCAGTGCCACCTATCAGTGTCCATCAGTGCAGCCTGTCAGTGCCCATTACTGCACATCAGTGAAGGAGAAAAATCACTTATTTACAAAATTTTATAACAAAAACTAAGAAAAAACCTTTTTTTTTTCTAAATTTTCAGTGGTTTTTAGTTTAAGAAAAAATAAAAAACCCAGAGGTGATTAAATACCACCAAAAATAAGGCTCTGTCACAAAAAAATGATAACAATTTTAATATGGGTACAGTGTTGCATGACCGCGCAATTATCATTCAAAGTGCAACAGCGCTGAAAGATGGAAATCGGCCTGGGCAGGAAGGGGGTATAAGTGTCCTGTAGGCTAGTGGTTAATATAGCAATCCTGCACAAAGACGGACGCAGCCCTCCATTTTGTTAGGAATTTTCTATGTTATACCATTTCTCACTCCCAAAGCAGGCTACCCCCTCCATCTTGCAGATCTCTCATCCCCCCTCCCTCGCTGTGGGGTGACATGTGGCCTGAGTGATGAGAAGGGTCACAGGCGGCCAAAGCACAGCAGGGAACTCCGAGCTATAAAACTTGATGAGCTGGGTGCCTAGCTGTCTAAGAAACTTTGCAATCTGGCACATCGTAAAAGTATAAACCTAGTCCCTCACTGAACTTCAAAAGACCTTCCAAGGGGTCGTAAAGACAGACTTACTTTTAAAAACTCACTTTTCATATAAGTTGATATCTTCACGTAGGACATAATTATCTAAATATGGAGCCTATATTCGGAAGGCTCAATTTGAGACCATTCTCCTGATAGGTTACACCCCTTAACTGGCATACACAGAAAAGCAGGAAAGCATATCTCCTTAACCATTCAAGTGCATATTTCATGTTTCATCTCTAACCATTCCGCAGATGCGGCTGAGTATTTATATACTAGTGCCCAGGCCGGCAAATGTACCTAAGAAAAGTTATTAGCCAAAATATAAGCTAAGAGAGATTCTGGTTGTAACTTAGGTCTCCACCCAACACCCCTCCCCAAAAGGAGACCATTGGTTACTACCCCAAAGAGACACCCTGCTGGTATTTGCTAGAAAAAGGTTGTTATGCTTGGAGTGTGTGTGTGAGAGAAGAGAAGCGTCTCCTGCTTTTAACATCGAAACTAGCAGTAGAGACAAGACTTGAAGCTGCTTAACCCAAGGCTTTTTGGCAAGTACTTATTTACCTAAACTTCTGTTATCTTTTTGCTGTGTTATTGCTCTCTGTATATTTATATATATATTGGTTACATCTTTTTTCTGTAAATATTTTTATTGCACCCTTTTTGGCCTTTTAGAAATAAATCTTTCTTTCTGAAAGTGTTGAACTGTTTTTAAAGCTCTTTAATGCAACTTACTAATTCCTGCCGCTGAAGAGCGCTACTATGTGTGTTTAACCCTCTGTATAACCTGTCTGCGGTGGTAATGGTAGACATACGATTATCCAATCATCCTATTGTATTGCTGATATTGCCAAGTTTTTTTTCTTTCTCTGTACAAAAATGAGGTGGTGGCAGTGTTAAGGGTTAATTGTGTAATTAACCTGACCCAGTAACAAATTGCACTCAGGCTGCCGGTACATCGATTTGTGGTCCAGTGAGCTGGAAAATCGTTGTGCAGGGTGCAGCTGGGCATGGCATTGTTACGCACGTGACATCACGGTTTTAGATTGGCTAGTCCTTCGGTCACGAGTTTGGTGAGAAGGGCGGGGGTCTGACCCCGCGATCGTCCCAGTTAAAGCAAGACAACCCCTTGTCCTTCAGAACCTGGCTTTCAACAGCCAAGCAGTCGAAGCCAGTGATGGTAAAGCAGGGTGGAAGACCGGACCTTGGAACACAAGGTCCTCTTGAAGAGGCGCCTGCTGCCAGGGAGCGTCTACCACCAACCGCACCACATCAGCATACCACGGGCGGCTGGACCAGTCCAGAGCCACCAACATGACCGGTATTCTTTCAGCTTCTATCCAGTGCAGCAAGTGAGGCATTAGCTTGAGGGGCAGAAAAGACACAGGCGAGAGATTGTACCGATCCTGCGGTGCCACCAGCGCATCTGTCACGTCCGCCATTGGAACGCGGAACTTTCTGGTTAAGGCGGGATGCCTGAAGATCAATGTCCAGTGATCCCCAGCAAAGAAAAGGCCAAAAGAACACCTCCAGATGCAGGGACCACTCAACCAATGCAGCGCCTGAAGGCTGAGATAGACCACTTGCCAGTTTCTGACACCTGGAATGTGTACGGTGGACAGAGCTGGGACAAACCTTTTCACCCATGGTAGGATGTGAGAAACCTCAAACGCTGCTGCAGCACTGCCAGCACCTCCCTGAAAAGTGGCATACTATTGAATCCTGATCGGTAAGCCCTTTAGGTGATCCATCCAATTTGTCAGTGACAACCTGACTGCTTGCATCTCCAGGACCTTGATGGGAAGCCGGGCTTCCTCTGGAGTCTAGCAACCCTGGGCCGAGCCCGAAGCCAACAACCCTCCACAGTTTGACAGGTTGGCATCCGCCATGACCACTGTCCAGCAAAGGGGAAGAAAAGACTTGTAGGTCTGTAATGATGGAGGTCGCCACCAGAGAGGAGAGGCCCCCGCTGAATGTTCCAGACTAAATCGGGCATCTATGGAGACCGTAGCATCATCCCATGTGGCTCAGACCTCCATCTGGAGAACACTGACAAGGAACTGCGCAAATGGGACCACCTCAAAGTGGACACCATGAGGCCAGAGCCCACATGCAAGACCACAGGGAAGACCATTTGCATGACAAAAGCAGACAGATCGCCGTCTGAAGCTTCTGGAGTGTCTCCACTCGAGTTAGTACTCTGGCCTGCTCCAAGTCGAGAATCAAGCCCAAGGATGACAGATTCTTGGTCGGGGAAAACGTGGAGGTCCAAGACCCATCCGAAATACTGCAGGGAACGCATTGTGATCTCTGCGGTGTCTGGTAGCACAACCTGGGATCCACATGCCAGAGCAGGTCATCCAAACAACCAGGCCCGGCCATCCCCCAGTCTCAGCAACACCAGGATAGAGGCCATCACCTTGAAGAACACCTGAGAAGTCCAGACCAGCCTGAAAAGGAGCCCCACAAAATGACATGCGTCTTCAACCAAAAAGCATAGGAATCACAGATGTCCCTCGCACCAGGGAATGTGCAGGTATACAGCCTAGATGTCCATGGACATTGGGAAATACCCGAGAGGGATTGACCACCTCCGGAAGAATGGACTGCAGAGTGAACTGCTGAATCTGACCCAGACCCAGGATCAGGAAACTCCACCCATGCATGGGACCGTGAAACAGTTGGAAGAAAAAACCCCCTGAACCATTCTAGCTCGGCACTGAGACACTTGCGCCCTGATGAGCAGGTCCCACCCTACACTGCACAGAGCCTGAAGCTATGAAAGGCAGAGGAGAAAGAATTGGGTGAAAGAAGTCCTCAAGTGAGTAAGAAAGAAATTCTACATTCTATCAGCAAAGTCTCCAAGTGAAGCGAAGAGGAAAAAAAACTAGACTCCTGCAGCGACGCCATCCCTGCCGTGGTCAGTGGTAGGAGTGGTAGGAAAGCACACTCTAGCCATGAGTCAGGGCATTACAGGAGCCTCATCAGCAGCCAGCACTTTAGCCAAAATACCCGCCAAAGCACCACCAAAAAAACGGAGAGCTTGGAAAGTAGGGAAGCAGCAGTGATGGATGTACCACATCACACTTCTGGCTCTGGACCAAAACTGGTCTGCCAGAGCCTTCACACACCTATGCACATGTCCGGTATTAAAACCGGGTCACCACAGTTTGTCCCATGTGGCATCAGGGACACCAGGACCATGGCCACCACAAGCCAAAAATGTATTGGTGCTCAAAGCAAGCGACTGCCCTTAAAATAAGAACTGCTCTTAAAAGAGGGAAGGATGGGGGGGACACCATGGGAGAAGAGGTACACTTTATCAGAGAGCTGCCCAAGGAGTAATGTACCCCAAAGCACTTAGGGACCACAAAAAAGCTGCTATTGGCTTGCAGACAAATTCGGCAAAGTGAGCAGGAGAAACCAAAATCTTACCAGGGTTCACAGCCCCTGGGAGCTCTCACTTGGGACCATACCCGGTACAGCAGGAAGGGACACGGGCACCAGCGCCCGAGCATGTGTGGCCAAACAGAGGGCGAATGTACCCTATTAGGGGAAGTCACAAACTCAACCAGTATCCAGAGACCACAGGAAAAAAGGATGGATGGATGTTGCGCCCCCCCCCCCATCACCGACATTGCAGCAAGACAGAGCGGGATCCCTTCGTGCCAAGGCATGACACCCAGACAGTGTCCGTCCACCACAAAATGGCTAAAAAAAAAACAAAACATGGATACTCCCCCCTGGGGGAGGCTGCCGCTCACTGCCCAGTATACACCTGCTTTTCTAGAGGGGTACACACGCCCTTGGTCCCAACCCACCAGGAGGGAGAGCCATCACAGTCCAGCAAGCTAGTCTCCTGTCCAGGGACCCACAGTGGACTTGAGCTCCATTCATAGGCTGATCCTGTGACCAGTTGGGATGGATTTAATAGGGCTGATGTCCTAGGTAACATGGTATGGCACAGCACGCCCAGCAACAACCCCCTTAGCTCTGTCCATCTGCATGGGCACCGGGCCACCAGGTAGTGACTACATGAACTGGCGACTTTTTTTTATAGGTCACAGTGAGGGAACAAAAACAAGTGCCCCTGACAAAATGGAAGCCAGCCAAGGCCACTTAAAGATGGCTGCCCAGATGCCCTCTCTCTAAAGGCCAACAACAGGGGGGGGTGGATGTAGACTCAGTCCACGCAACGTCTATCCCCCCCCCTTTGCAGTGAGTGGCTGAGAACACTGTAGGTGAGGACATGTACTCACCTGAAGATGAC